GCCTCCCCCTCCTCCGGCCGTCTCTATAAACACGCAGGGCTTACTCAGAAGATTAGAAGGGAACGGGGCAAAAGACAACAGAGTCTCTTTTGTAATGAGGAAGGATTATGGCATCAAGTGACCGGCTGCAGCTCCCAAGTGGGTTTCAGGCTCCTTAGCACACCGTGTCTGTCAGGTTCAATCCCCTCCATGAGCCAAGGGGGCACGAGGAGGCGGGACGTGGCGTGGGCCACAAAGGACCCAGCGAGGACACGTGCAGGACCAAACCTCCATCGCCTCCAGCGCAGCTCAGGAGCCCATGACTGTAAGTATCCAGCCCTCCCAAGAGCAGATCGATTCCTTCAAAGATCTGTCCTCCTGCCTATCCGTGACCTCCTCTCTCGCTCCATCTCTCCGCTCTACCTGCTCGCTCTCCGTCTTTGCTCGTGGCTTTTCGCCGTCTCCTGTGGTGGGGACCACTCCGGACGCGGGTTTGCTGTTGCGGGATCGTGGTTGCTGTGGATTCCCACAGTCCAGTTTGTGTCAGTTGACCATCAGGTGCAACGATGGGTCCAGAAGGATCAGGCAGGTGGATGCAGGATCCCCGAGGAGCGGGTGGTGGGATGGCTCTTCCACCCTATAGCGGCTCCAGTGAGTCACCTCCCACTACATTCCTCAACTCCAAACGGTGCATGGAGTGTGCCAGCTCCGAAGTGACATCCCAGGGCAACCCTGCGCAGGCTGGCAGGGAAGCATCTTAAACCATTCAGGGTGAGAAGGAAAACGTGCTGGGAAAAGCCCCATATCCCGTACTGGAGCAGAACCGCAGAGAGGTGGGTGACATCCATTATTTACACAGACAAGAGCTGAAGTTTTCCATGTTTGGTAAAAAGTGAATCTGTATTCGAATTACGCAACGAAGAGTCTCCCCGAGCACTTTGAAGACTCAACGCGTAGAGAAAACAGCCGGCTTTCCGTGAGCGGCCCCCCAAAATCTTACGGGGGGTTCGCGTTCCTTTCTCGTCTGGGCAGCCCATGTGCGGGCAGGCTCTCAGGAGGTGAAAAACAACTTTTCCAACTGGAAGTAGCCGGCAAAACAGACTCTGCTGGTTTTCCTCCCAGCACCAGCTCACCGGGACCTGAGTTGTCCCCACCTCGGTGTAGGTCTTTCACTAAGATTCTTAAACGAGGAGTGTGGACCCAAACTTACTTCAGCTGCTGCTACAGAGCAGCAAGGTCTCAATTCAAAATTGTCCCTTGAAGTGCTTCTTTGTCTCCATCATTCAGAGGAGAGCCCAAGGCCCCATAACTGTTAACATTATTGCCTCTGTTAGATAGCAATGTCTGTGTAACATCCTGGTAACATGTGTTGATTTAGAAATACCAATAGTTTCCACATCAGGTAATTATTTATGAACAACAGGATCATCAACCTACCTGCTTGGCAAGGATTACACTGTTTCATTGGGCTTTTTTTCTCTTATTAGATTATTAATTTGATTAATTAGATTATTAATTTGATTAATTAGATTATTAATTGACGATAAAGAATTATTTATCCGGAGTTAGTCTAAAAGACGGGGACGCTGGGTGGCATTTCACGAGCCTGAATGACTTTTTTCATCCAGCATGATTTATTGTGCAATGTATGGCTGAAGGAGAGGGGAGGTGGCGTTGCTGGAATTCGGGCTCTGTGAGCCTGGCCAAGCTCCATCCCTCAGTTCTCTGACAGGGAGAGCTGTTCTGCCTGCAGGACCAGGACCAGCATAGTCCAGTTATGGCCCTCAGCCCAAATTTAAAGACAGCTCTACTTGTTGGGCAAGTGTCAGATCTCTAGGGGTACCTTCATCTGGATCGTTATCAAGAAATCTCTCCCCTTTCTGGGGTTTTTGCTTTCCTTTGGGTTTCTTTTTGTTGTTTTTTTTTTGCTAGCAGTATTTCAGGGAGACGCTTCCTGACAAGCAGATTTACAGAACAACGTATCTGAAGCAAAGACTACAAGAAAAAAAAACCAAAACCAACACAAAACCAGCAACAGTAAGCAACTTTGGAATTTTCAACCCTGAGAATTATTCTTAAAGAACTGGTTTGTGGGTGGGAGTGGCACGTGGGCTCTGTCCCCTCCAACGAATCCTAACAATCAAACCCTAGAAACCTCCCTCAGAAAGGATATTCTCTGGTGTAACCAGCTCACGTGCAGCTCAAATACAGGCAGAAGATGGCAAGATCTCTGAATTAATCCCTGCTATAAATGCTCTCCTGGTGCTTGATGCCACTGGCTTCATCTTACCTGTCTTTTGATCTCAACTCATTGTTTCTTTCTCTCTTCCTTCTGTCTTGCTGGCTTGTTGTGAGACTTGCGGTTTCGTCCCTCTGTGCAAGCTTGCTGGCAGCTTCAACACCTGCTCATTTCGTGCCTCCCCTAGGATCTGTGATGACCGTGACATACACCAACCGCGTGGCTGACGCCCGCCTGGGCACCTTCTCACAGCTCCTGCTCCAATGGAAAGGAAGTATCTACAAACTTCTCTACTCCGAGTTCCTTATTTTCATCTCCCTCTACTTCACCATCAGTCTTGTCTACAGGTAAGCACCCTTACACCCCGACACTGACACAGCCCCTCACGCTCAGCCTGTCCTGGAGCAGGACGACTGAGCAATCAAGTATCGGGACAGCGGTGCTGGTGAAGAGGAGCTCAGCAACCACTCACCAGCCGCAGGAGGAAAGTCCTCACAGCTCTGATACAGCTTAGCAGCTGATAAATCTCCTTTTCCCATCCTGGGAAGGAAAAAAGCTTCTCTTCCCTGGGATGAAGAGTTGCCTTTGATGGTTACCTCCAGAAGAACGGTGTAGATCAGTGGAGACCAAGGCTGAACTTGTGCTGGAAATGTCTTACAGCCAGGAGCTTTACAAGAGAGTTTCCCTTGTCACACAACAGCCAATACCTCGGGTGCGTTTTTGGGAGCAGATATCAGCTCTAGGACCACAGATCTGGGACAAAGCAACTATGGCTGGTCTAGTTTTGGTGAGGAAGGTCGAGCAGCTAGTTCGACCACAGATGCAGCATGCAGGGAAGCAGCTCTAAGAAAGAGGTGGGAACTCACATAAGAGCAGAGCTTGGACTGACATTTTGCAGGATATTAAGCGACCTGTGGTGCAAAACTCTGGTACCACATAGCAATCTCGCAAGCGAGAAAAATAAGGGTGGTCCCTGACATCAGGCTGCATCCCTTACCACGCACCCTCTGCCACCGACCGCTTCTGGCTCCTTCGGACTGGTCAGTGGGTATTTTGGGGAGCTGGGCTGCTCTTCACTCACATCATCCCCAAACTCACGGCGTGGCAGTGTTGGGACTCCCCACCTTTGGCTTTCCTTGCCAGGCTCCCATCCCAGCAGACCTCAACGAGGTATGGACTCTTCTTTGAGGTGGCTGCTGCATTTTCTTCCTTTCAGGCTGATCCTAAGCGAGAGCCAAAGGCTGATGTTTGAGAAGCTGGCACTCTACTGCAACAGCTACGCCGAGCTGATCCCCGTGTCCTTTGTGCTGGGTAAGGAGCTCTGGTCTGGGGACACACACAGGGAGGGAAAGGGACAGTGTTTCTTCTCCCTGGTTCGATATAGCTCTGCAGGCAGGCAGGATTCGCTGAGCAGATCCCTCCTTTGAAAAACTCGAGCAGAATGCATCATTTCACGTCACAGCTGTGAGGCACAACCCCAGCACACAGCTTGCACTGGGCAGATGTACGAGTGTGTTCTGGGTTCTGCCAGACTCTGACTTTAGCACAGAGATCTGGATTGTCCTCCAGGGACACCTGCATCCCTTGTATGAGCAGTACCAGCCTTCCTCCACGTGAGCATTTCCATCTCCCACTCCTTTAGGACGTCTAATTTGCTCAGCTCACCTCACCTCTAGGTTTCTACGTGGCTCTGGTGGTGTCCCGCTGGTGGGCTCAGTACGAGAGCATCCCGTGGCCCGACCGCATCATGAACTTGGTCTCCTGCAACGTGGATGGGGAGGATGAGTACGGGCGGCTCCTGCGTCGCACCCTCATGCGCTACAGCAACCTGTGCAGCGTGCTGATCCTGCGCTCCGTCAGCACCGCCGTCTACAAGCGCTTCCCCAGCATGGAGCACGTCGTGAGGGCAGGTCAGTGCTGGTCCTGCCTTCTGCACAGCATCGGCACTGCTGGTTTGGGGGGCAAAGGGCCTTGGAAAGGGCCACGTGTCCTCCCAAACTGGAGGTGGGGCAGTGTCGCAGTCTGAAGCAGGTGCTAAGCATCTGCTTGTGCCTCAACTCTGCTCTCCTGAAATAATCAACTGGTTTGGGTTTTTTTCCCTCCATTGCTCAGCACGCTTGTTCCTACCATGGGCTGAAAGCGTGTGTGGGAGGAGAAGAGCTCTCTGTGGTAAACAACCCTGTGCACAGACCCATAGCAGAGCACACCCCTGCCAAGTGGTGTGTTTGTCCTCCCTCAGGGAAACAGTTTTCCACCAGGCAGGTGGGAATTGGAGCCTCAGAGCTCCAACCTTAAATGCCGGGCTCCTTGAATCCTCTCTGAAGATGCTCCTCAAGGTACAACATTTCCCAGCCTGCCCAAAGGGAGATGTCTGCGCCTGCTCCAGCTAACTGGGCTCCCTTTGCAATGCAGAGAGAGAAACAGGCACTTCTAGGACGCAAGTTATCCCATTCTCAACAAATGTCTCTGTGCACCAGGCAACTGCCAGTCCTTCATCTCCTTGCTGACTGCTCTCTGGTCACATACGCTGCAGACATCCCAAGTGAAATGAGATAAAGCCTGCCTCTCACGCTTCTAAAACTGATTTAACAAGACAATTTGTCCTGCTATGTGCCTGCAGAAGCCTCAGTCTCTCCTGTGATTTTTAAGGAGAGCTAAAGCAACCACCTTCGATTTCAATGTTTTCATTTCAGACCCATTTAATTCCTTTCTGCTCTCTATGGCCATCCCTCTCCCACCTACTCTTTTCCACTCAGGCCTAATGACTCCTGAAGAGCACAAGAAGTTTGAAAGCTTGAATTCCCCCCACAACAAGTTTTGGATCCCATGCGTGTGGTTCTCCAATCTGGCCGTGAAGGCAAGGAACGAGGGCAGGATCCGGGACAGCGTGCTGCTCCAAGGCATCCTGAACGTGAGTGACAGAGGCAGAGCGCAACTGTTGGAGATCCTCGTCCGGTCCTTTAGGTAGAACTACAGGGATTTCCGGAGTCAGGCAAGGAATAGGAATTAGCAGGAGGCAGGACAATGAGCCAAGCCTGTCTTTGCAGGTATCTCATTAACTTTGGTGGGAAATGCCCCCATTGCCAGTCTCCAGCTCGTGACAGAACAGAGCTTTTCACGTCCTGCTGACACGGGAGCAATGTCACACGTATGAGAGGCGAGGGGAGTGTGGTATCTTTCTCAAACGTGGGACTGGGAGGAACCATGCGACTCCCCTCTAGGTGTGGTGATGGGAGACACCCAGGTAGAAGGTCCTTCTCAACCAGCCTTCCTCCAGTCTTTACACGCTCCAGAGCCGCCAACAGTGGCTGGGGGAGGTCTCTAAGGTACAGACGCAAAAACCACAAGGAAGTATGTATCTGGAAGAGACCAGGAGAGGTCAAAAGCATCCCCTACAACCAAGATCCCTCTAGAAAATTCACTATTAAAGCCTCTTAGATAGTCCCGGGAAGCAGGCCATGCACTGCAGGCAAGACCTGGCAATGATCCCTGCCCAGCTGCAGAGAAAAACAGTCCAGGGCAGCTCATTCTTCCTGGCATTCATATGCAGAGAAAGTCACATTGTTTCTGTTGCCTAGAGTGAGATTCATCTGCCCAGAGAGAGCGATGTCCCTCTGGGCTATTTATCTAGACTCACTTACCTAGCCAGGAGAAAGAAATGGGTGCTCCTGAGACCCAACCGGTTGGCTGCTCATTTTGTGAGGAGACAAACTCCGCTATGAAGTGAGCCAGAAAGGGATTTTTGGGCTCAGATGGTGACACCCAGAATTTCCTCCAGGGCAAGCGCAAGATCTTACTGGTGGTCTGCTGGGATGAGGCACAGAGGGACCGGGAGTTCTGGCTGAACCTCCCCTTCCAGAGGAGGAGGGAAGGGGCTAGAGCAACGAAGCACAAGGCCAGAGAGACTCGGTGTCCCCAGCAAGGAGCTGTGAAGTCACGCTGACAGGGTGTTCCTTTTCCCCACCGCAGGAGCTCAACACCTTGCGCAGCCAGTGCGGGCGACTCTACGGGTACGACTGGATCAGCATCCCCCTGGTCTACACTCAGGTGAGAAGGGATCCCCCTCCAGCTATCACTCTGCTCCCTGCAACATACTCCCCGTTTACACCCACAAGAAACACTCGGACCCCTCTTCCCCACCCGCACGCGCCAGCTCAGCAATACGCACCAGGCCCAGCCTTATTTCCCTAAATCAGAGCTCTGCAGAAACACCCACCATCCCGGCGTAACCAGCCACACGGGCACACAGAAAACATGTTCCCTGCACCCCCTTGCAGGCAGCACGTCCCCAGAGCATTTCGTTTCTCCTCAGCAGAGGTGAGATCTCTCTGCCAGCAAAGCTGCTGGAGCGCTCAGCTGTCCGAGAGCTCTCTCAATGCAAACCCAGACGCTTTGGCACCAACGCCCTCCCTTTGCCTCACACACTCCAGCTGCTCCGATAACGCCGTGAAACGGGAACCGCTTCCGCTCACGCAGCGCTGAAGGTCAATGGGGAACACGTTGAGAAATTCTATTCCTGGTGTCCTGCACGCTAGGATCAAAAAAGCAGTATCATAATATGGCTTTGCGTCCTCTGCAGGACACAACCCCTTGTGGTTTGGTTGTTTTTTTAAAGGTGCCCATCCAGGCATCCCAGGCACTCTAACCCACCCGCGCTGTTCACTGCAGGGAAACATGCAGTGGGTGCGAGAGTCTCGTGATGCCGGGTGTTTGTTTTGAACGCCCTTGCTTGTTGCGTCAAGAGACGACTGCAAGAATCTCAGCTGCTCTTAATTGGAAAAGGGGAAGTTCTCAGTCCCATGGTTACAGAGAAAAAGCTTGCTGTAGACTGAAATCTGGGCAAGCAGGCAGGCAAATCGAAAAAAGGCCCAGCGTGAGGACCAGGAAGGAAGGAGCTGGTTCAGAGCTGCCAGGGTTTGCCTCCCTGACTTGGAAAGGAGCCTGCCAGCATGGGCAGAGGCAGCTTTCAGGAAAGGCAAGACTGAAAAGAGCTCACAGCACCCCTCACCTGAGCAGCAGAACAACCACGCAGCCACGTGTCGGCTGTTTAAGCTCTTTCCATCCAGGATGTCCCATGCCGCTGTCTTTCTGTGACACCTACACAGATGTTATTCCAGGGGCAGCATGGAATAAAATACAGCCTGTGTAGCAGCTAGAGGGCAAAGGGCGCAGTTAAAGCTTTCTGCAGAGGCACCCGCCTTCCTGTAAAAAGCAGAGGAGAAGCCTGTCGTAACCAAACCCAAGGCTTCCAACAGGCTACAGAGCCAGCAGCTCTTTGGAGAAGAGCGGAACCGAAGAGAGATGCTGGGAACTCAAGCTCCTCTGGTGTGTCCCCTGGCATCTTTCCCAGGTGGTGACCGTGGCTGTTTACAGCTTCTTCCTGGCCTGTCTGATCGGGCGCCAGTTCCTGGATCCGGAAAAAGCATACCCTGGCCATGAACTGGACCTCTTCGTGCCCGTCTTCACATTTTTGCAGTTCTTCTTCTATGCTGGCTGGTTAAAGGTAAGTCCAAGAAAATACATCCCGAGGCTGGAATCTGACCCAGCCAAGGGTTTTTCCCCGGTGTGTGCTCACCAGGAACCAGCTGTGTTCTTCGGCCTGTGGGCAACATGCCAGGAGCTGGCAGGGAAAAGGGGAGCCAGCGGGGGCTGAGGGTATTGCCAAGACCTCAGTTTCTGGAGAGTCTCACCCTGGAGATCAGCTCCACCTTTCCTAAGCTTTGCTCCTGACTAATTTGGGGGAAAAGAGAGGCAGCAGGCTACACTTTACCTGCAGTGGTGGTCTGTGGTCGCAGGAAGGCTGTGTGAGCAAGGGGCAGTTATCTGTGAGTACCAATATCTCCCAGCCACTGGGAAACCTCCACTTGTAACCCACCCTTTTTGGGCAAAACCAGAATTGCTTCAAATTCAAGAGACTTCTTGCCTGACTCTGCCCCTCAGGCCATTTTCTCTGCAGGCAAAGGGGCAGGCATGGCCCAACTGTTAACCCAGCACCGCCAAGCCCACCAGCAAACCACATCCCTGAGCATCACATCTACCCGACTTCTAAATACCTCCCCGATGACCTTTGCTACGTGCTCTCTGCATGCAGGTGGCCGAACAACTCATCAACCCTTTTGGCGAGGACGATGACGACTTTGAAACCAATTGGCTCATTGACAGGAACCTGCAGGTAAAGTGAAGGCAGGATCCTCCAAGACGAGCCTGACCTGCAGAACACGGAGGCAGGATCGCATCTAAGGGTTTAGCAAGCCCCATGGGTGCTGTCGTGATATTCTCCTGCTATGGGGCAAGGAAACAGCACCCATTGCCCTCATGCTTTCCTGAGGCATCAGTGGCCACACGTTACGAAGGAGCCCAGAATCTGCAGAGGGAGATGGCTGGGAGAACGGGAGGACAGCAAAAGGCTTCCCAACAAATCAGAGGGTGCAGGGGTTCAGCTCAGCGTTGCACCTCAGCAACCAAGGAGACATCCTGGGCTCCAGGAGGAACGTAGGTGCCAGGAAGAACCTCCTCACCCTGGAGAAGATAGGGCTTTTGTCGATCTCTGTACGCAAAGATCTACCTGCAGCTTTAGTCCATGCTCTGGCACACATGATGGATCCCTCTTCCCTAGCTTTTCCACCCCAACCACCTCCTCTGCTTTCTTCCAGGAAATAACCCTTCACCTTCAGCCCTTCCAAACAGAGCCCTTCTGTCTTAGGGAGCACATTGCTTTTTTTGTCTCCTGCAGCATCGCTTTCCATCCAACTAATCAAATCTCTCCGCGTGAAAAACAACCCGAGGGATGGGAAACGGCAGAGCAAACCCCACCGCTCCCTCACGGCATTGCTTCCTCCTGCCCCACGCTCCTTTGCTGGCGCACGTAGCGCTGCTCGCCACGCACAACGTCTCTGCTGTGTCCTGCAGGTCTCCCTTATGGCAGTGGACGAGATGCATCAGGATTTACCCATCCTGGAGAAGGACCTGTACTGGAACGAGCCCGATCCTCAGCCACCCTACACCGCAGCCACCGCCGAGTACAAGCGCCCGTCCTTCCTCGGCTCGACTTTTGATATCAGGTGAGCACAGCCACGGGGGGTCAGAGCACTCCATGTTTACATCTTGGATGAAGCCTCACGCAAGGCATTACTCTCTGGGAGTAAGAATTAATATTTTTATCCTTTTGTGACCCTGTAACAGCCAGTTCTGCCTTTCCCCAGCATGCAGAAAGAAGAGATGGAATTCCAACCCCTGGAGCAAATTAAAGAGAACGAGGAGGCCAACCACTCCACACCCTTACTGGGACACCTGGGCCGCCTCCTCGGTGTCCAGTCACCGAGCTTCTCCAGGTCCTCCTCCCGGATGAACCTGTTGCGCAGGCGAGGAGACCCCACGTCCCCCTTCTCCCATTATACGTACCAAGACATGGGCAAGTCTGGAAGCCCTTGCAGCATCAACCAGCCGAGGGGAGACTCCAGCTCGCAGGAACAGTGGGACAGTGAAGAAGGAAAACTGAGGGAGTTCGACGCCTTCATGTCAACCCCATTTTATGAGAGACCTGGTTTCTACAGCGCTCCGCAGACACCCATCAGCTCTATCCCCATGATTTTCCCTTCCAGACGCCAAGGCCGCAAGAAGCCTCCTGCGCTCTCCAGCATCGCTGCGTGCTCGACCTCTCTTAGGGACGTCATCGTCAACTCCTCACCTTCCAGAGCCAGCGACGTGTATAAGAGTCAGAGCTCCCTTGGCTCAGCAGCAAAGGAAACGTTCATTTGGCCAACGGATCGGAGCAGAGGTCCCACCGACTCGCTGGCTGTAACAGTAGAAGAGAAGAGCAACTCTAACAATAGAAGCAGAGAAGCTGCCACCACGGGAAGTCCCGGAGCTCAGTCCACAGCATCGGAGAGCCCGAAATTCCGCTTCTCAGCCGAGTCCCCAGACCACGAGAAGCAGGGTAGCTTCAAGAGCCTGAAGAGCCTGAAAGCTTCCCACCCACCGTGGCTGACCCTGGAGAACACAGCCTCAGCCACTCCCAATTCAGAGCATTCAAGCGCTTTTCAAACCCCCAGCAACAAAACCCCTGGAGGCAGCACCTCCCTCTGCTTCTCCTTCACTCCTGTCACATCTCCCGTGCTGGAGAGATCCCGCATGGGGAACGCAGGCCCTGAAGCTCGCAGCTTAAGTTTAGAAGACGCAGCCAGTGCTCCAGATCAGCATCCGGCAGACGTTCCCAGGAACGCGAGAGATGCTGGAAATGGAAGCGCTAATACTCCCCCTACAAAAGAGCCAAAAAGAGCAGAAAGTCCATCCCCCAATGACTCTGGCATCTCTCTAGCCGAAGGCGACTACGTGGGGCTGATGGAGGTGATCATGGAGACCAGCGAAAGCGCGTGCGAAGAGCAGATGGATCAGTAAAGTTAGAGGAGACTGAGATTCTGTCGAGATACCCACCGGATCGGCGATATCACGGTATCTTCACACCCAGCCACACTGGCCCTCACCCGAAGGGCAGCACAGCCAAGCCACACCGCTGGAGCACGAGCCCAGCCCAGGCTAAAGCCAGCACCGAGACCCCGCTGCCGGCCTCAGGGACAGCAGCAGGCACAACTTCAGCGTTGCAACCACAAACCAAGCAAAAAAAACCCAATACATCATCCTCTACATCTGGAGCAAAAGAGTGATTAAGACTTTTGAGCGTTCTCACAGGTATCTCAGCAGGTACCACCTGAAGAGCCCAGAGGGAGGCGTGAGGAACACGGTGCATAACAATTCCTTCCCCTCCTCCTCAGCCCAGCGAGAAACAGAACTTTGAGCTTGTTCCCAATGTTGGTCACAAGACCATCACAAGACTCAGGCAGGGCTTGCACCACTGACAAGATACTCCGAGAAAAGGGACTGAAGCAAGTCATATAAATCCTAACACAGACCCACAGCTGCTTCGTCATGACCACGTGGTGTTTTCCAGGGCTGGAAAAGCACCAGGGTAAGGCAGGACAAGTGTCTGCTACACCAGGTAGCCACAATTGACAGCATTTGCCCAGCACGTTACTGCCTTTTGAAGTTCCACATCACATCTGCCCCAAACTTGACAGTGCTCACAGAGCAAGTCATCAGGGTGGTGGCAGTCACCACCCAGCAACGAGTTTTTACTGTCCTCCCTAAGAAAATAAAACAAAGCTGAAGTCCAGGACCACCTGTTTCATTTCCTCATTTTAGCTTTGACACAATAAGGATTTAGGGAAACCACAGAAGTTTTCCTACTTCCACATGCAGAAACAGCTGCAAATCAACCCTGTCACAGGGCAGGGACACATGTGACAATTTTCCCTCCCACATCCCTTCCAATGCTTTCACAATAGCCCTCTCTGCAGTGGATCCCACTGGATGGCGGTGGGGGGGCAAAATAATCAAAGAGTAACTTTTATAAAAGCTCTAAGCAAGCAAAACCCAATCCCCTCTAGTACATTCCTACACCTACACCCAACTTAAGAGACTGCAGAGCACAGCCCCGTGAGTCCGGGCCTCTCACTCCTGAGGGAAACAGCAAAAGCCAACTCGAACCAAGTCACTTTATTGGATGGAGGGCAATACACAAAACACAAGATAAAAGAGGGGCGATATTTGGTACAGAATATGACAACTGTTTATCTAGATAGCTGAAGATGCATGCACGGCTGGACAGTAGAGTTGGGAGTCCCGCTGAAACCCACGGGGCGGCTGGTGGCAAGGCTTCAGCTCTCGTTGTCACTGTCCCCGAGGGTGTGCTTGTCGAAGAGGTACTCGGCCATGCCGTATTTGGGCGCCCCCATCTTCCGCAGGTTGGTCACGTGGTCACCCAGCTCTTTGATGGCTTTCACCTGTTCATCCAGGTAGTGAGTCTCGATGAAGTCGCACAACTGAAAGGGGAGACATAAAAAGGTTTAAAAATTTAGGTCTGGACAGCAGCTTACTCAGATGAAACAGGATCTGAAATCCTACCGGTCCTCTCTAGGGAAGAGAGGAGATCTCCAATGATCATTTTAAAGCTGAAAGAGATACTTGAGAGGAAGAAGCCATTACTTTTGCCTCAGTGATGCCAGAACAAGACCAAAAGGGAAGAGGGTTATGCAGGCACACTTGCTCCAAACCCCTGCAGTACAATGTCAGCTCCATGTCCCCTCTCCCTCACTACAGGAAGCGATAGGAAACATATTCACAGCACCTGAATTCACTGCCATAAGGATTTGTACTCTTAGAACAGTCCATCTATTTGTGTCTTTTAAAAAAAGTCCCTCTAATCTATGCAGGGCACTCCCACGAGTACATTAAGACAAATGCTAATCTCTTCCTGATACTAAGAAACCACAATCCAACCTTGCCAATAACTTCCACCCGCAAACAAATGTTTCCAGGCAGCTTTCTGAAGGGTCAGGGCTTTCAGCGTGGGCAAGCGGCAACTCTAAAATTTTATGACAGAGCAGAGCCTGGTGACAAAGGCCTTAGAGGCACCCATTGCTTTTAAGTTAGAACTCATCCCCCACAGAGCCAAGTCTTCTCCACAGAGCTTAATTTATTTCTTCAAAATGCTGTTCACATGAGCTTCTCCTCAAAACGCCACTCACACGAGCACGCTCCGTTGCCAAGAGCGACGGGAGGGTTTGAGCAAAGCAACTCGGAAGCAACTCAGGCGCCGTGCTGCAAGGGAGCCCACAGCAACCCTGCCACCCCACAACCGGTCCTGCTGGAAGAAGATGGCAATAACCCCACCGAACTGCGGGGGTACAGGCTGCACCCACCACTTCACACCCTTTTGTCACCTTTAGGAACAAACAGGACCCACGTCTCGCCCCCAGACCCACGCAATCGGGCACATACAAGCCCCCTCACTGCACAGCTGCGCTCTCAGCTTCAGCCTCCGCTTACATGTGGGTCGTTCTTTTCAGTTGCCAGTTTGTGCAGTTCTAAGAGCGACTGGTTCACGTTCTTCTCCAGGTGCAGGGCACACTCCATTGCAGTCAGGCCGTTCTCCCAGTCATCGCGATCCGGCTTCTAGAAGAGGAAAGCACACGAGCAGATGTTCTGTAAGTAGCCGCAGGCCACTGAGGAGCAAAGTCTTTCTCAGATCAGTCTTAAAGCCCATCTACACAAAGTTTAGGCATTAAAGTCGCTTGAAAAACTCAGCACACACACCAAGCAGAACAGAACACAGGCTCCAGGTCCCAGACTGTGCTCTATTTCTTAAGTCTATCCTCGTGTTATGGTCTCTGAGCTCCTGTAGCTCCTGGGAGCTACCAAAACTACTTTCTTCCCCTTCTCACTGCAACCTCATCACTTAAACATCTGCCTGTAAGCAGGCAACAGACACAACCTCTGAAACAAAGCAGTTAAGACACCAAGTCCAGGCAAGTCCACTCTTCAGCTCAGAACTGAGTTCTCCACAAAAGAATGCAGAGACCAGAAAGGCTCTTGCCATTATATTTTAGGTAGATGAACAAGTTGTGTTCCAGTTACTCTCATCCCACAGCAATCCACCCAGGGCTAGCCACCTCATTCTTGCCCAGAGAGCGCTTTTTATGAGCTGATCAGCACAAATTATTATGAATCTCTAGACTTTGGGCCACACACAAATCACAGCAATGTGGTCTGCTCAGCTCCTGCACTCCTTCTGGGAGAGGATCTGCGAGAAAATTTATCCTCTTCCAGCCTGGAGACAGAGCACAAGCCTAGTTCTGCATAAGACAATCCACAGCTCCACTCCTCACCTTGATGTCCTGCAAGAAGATGCGTCCGCCCCTTTGGTTCTGTAACTTCATCAGTTTCTCAGCGTGCTCACGTTCCTCGTGGGACTGATGACGGAAGTACTTGGCAAAGTTTTTCAGAGCCACATCATCCCGGTCAAAGTAGTAGGACTGGAAAAAAAAACAACAAACAATCAATCCAAGATTTCACACGCTTGAAGCCCCAAACCTCACTCGAGGAGTCACACGAAGGCAAGTGTTTGGTGTGACTTCAGGTATGTCTCCTATCAGCCCAACTTCATCATGGCTGGAGTCCAAGCTAAGGTGAGCGGTGGCACCGACGACAGCAAACAAAGCTCTTCCCTTAGTGGCAAGTTAAACTTTTCTGACTAGGGTTATATTTTAACCTCTATTTCCTCTGTGAACACAAATAAATGGTACTTGTGGTTTGGAAGATACAACTTCCCCCCCTAGATATCTATTCTGAGCACCATTCAAATGCTTCAAACACAACAGATTTAAAAACCCTTTTCCAGGAATGCTCGATGTCCCCTGTTCCCCTTTGTTTGCCCAAGTTTGTTTACAAGGATCACAAGTCAAGGTTCTGTCCACTGTTTGATTAACTTACTCAATAAAGCTCTCAGGCTTATCAGAGGTCAGACCGAGGAGTGTGCTTTCTACTTTTTTTTTTGGGGGGTGGGGAAGTATCTCAGTTAAAAGACAAAAGCTTAATTGAACTAAAATACATATTCAACAGCAAACACAAGACCATACTTTTTGAAAGCCAAAAAAAACCCCCAAACCCAACAACCAACCCTAAACTGTAGGAGCACTTAGAAGCCATTACACAGCTTATTTGTTCTTTGGTCAAAGCCATTAGGCAGGATTCAATAGAAAGCTTTGTTAGTTACCAGACAAACCACAAAAGAATTCTCTGCTCTTAAACCAACAGCCTGGAGGTTCAAGGCAAGACACTGGCATTCGTGTGGCACTATCATCCTCCAACATAATTTTATTTAGCTCGCAGCTGAGGTTCAGACCATCATAATAGCAAAAATGCAAGTTGAAAAGTTCTACATCCAAGTGCCACCACGTACTAGAGGAAGTCGCAAGTTACCTGCAGGTCTAAAGCACCAAGATTGCTGCACAGAGGTCAGAGCTGCTGCTCGGACCAGAGTTACTCATCTCGCCTATGGCTGAAACCGGAGCCTCACGCCAAAGCGCGACGTGTAAGCACAGCGCCGAGGAAACCACGCACTCCCTTCAACAAGCTCCCAACGAAAAACCTCGCCTCAGAGACAAGAAAGCCTGTGGGAGAGGTGCCAATCTCTCCGTTACTCAACTCCTGCTATCCAGCCCAGCCCAAAGGGCAGAGCCGCTCGGACCGCTGAGCGGTGCTGATAAGGAGCCCGCCACGGGCCACGGACGGCGGTTACGGCGCAACTTCACTCGAGCCCGGCACCCAGATAAAAGGCCTCACCTATACAAAACAAGCGGCCGCCCCACCCCCCCGGGGCGGGGAAGGCCAAGAACACCCCGGGGGC